CTTTTGCCGCTGAGCTAAATCCCCAGCCCCCCACATGTCTGTTTTTTATTTTGTTCCTTTTCTGACTTTTTGCAGTTCTGGGGATTAAACCCAGGGCCTTGAGCAGGCTAGCCAAGTGCTCTACCACTGAGCTGCAGCCTCAGTTATTTCGTCCTTTTCTTGTTCTTATTTTTCATTACTTTTTTTTGTTGAAAATACAAGAGTAACTTTTAACATCATGGCCCATCACCCCCATAGCATATATATTTTAATAATTAGGGCATTCAGATTTCTGGGAAAATGGCAGAGCAGTAAGCAACAATAAATCAGTGACTCTAAAATTTGAAATCCACATAATGGAAAATAATATCTTGTGGAAGAAAAGAAAGAGGGAGTTGGATTCCTGAAACCCAGGAAAGAACTGAAGAGAGAATTGGACCCTACAGAGAAATTGAAGAGACAGAGCACAATGCAGAAAAAGGAGGGGCAGTCTGCACTTTCTTCCCAACTCCTGGCTTGTGGTAAGAGAAAGGAAGATCAAATCTACAGATACACAGTGAAAGCAGACTCCAGGAGCCTTCCTGGAGAAATGCATCTGTGGAATAAAGCAGTGGATGCTATGCACTGCAGTAACTGGTGAGTGACCCCAGTCCAAGCACCTGCTGTATTCCCTGGAGAGAGTGCCTGGTTGGATGCCATGGTAGGGAGGGGCCCATGGAACCCAGGCCGCAGAGCAGCCATGTGTTGGCTTCTTCTCAGACCTAGCAATGTTAGACTCCCACAGTGGCTGGTTGAGGGACAACTACCAGAGATGTCCATGGTCAGGAGCTATGATTAGGTCAGCAAGAAACACCCAGAGTATTATAAGCTAAACAACTCAGGCCCCATCCCCACAACAAGAGGCTAGGTTCAACCTGAATTTCTGTGGATTTGTAAGTCCCAAAACCAGCATCCTACCCTAATCCTACTGCAGCCTTGCTGGGATTATCCAGCACGAGTCTGGGCTCAAACTACCACCTTCGTTTACCATCAAGAGTACAACCTTCAAGATAGAAACCTACTTATCAGATACAGGAGATAGGAGGACCTGAGAGGACAATTTTATATTCCTCCTTCTTCCCCAGGCTAACCAACTGTGTATGCTCAAGTCCTTGGAGTATCTCAGTGGGCAGCTACAGTTAATTGTATTTTCAAAGATGTCCACAACAATATCTCCCATCCTACATGCTTTTACATTGTGCCTTTGACATTTCTCCCATGCACAGGTGATACCTATGACTCTTCCTCTTGACTGTGGGTGATTGAGTAACAGTATGTGATTTCTGAGGTTAGACCTGAGGCGATCTGCTGGGTTCTCCTGAATTGTTTGTTTTTAGAACTCAACCAGCATGCCAGTCAGTCACATGAAAAATTTTTATGTTAGTCATGTAAAAACTCTAGTAGATAACTCCAACAACTCTCTAACACCCAGAATCTCCTTCCACACCCTCTCCCAATCACTATTCCCTCCCTTATCACCAAATGTAACTACTTGATTTTTAATACAATGATTTAGATATATTTATTTAAACTTTATATAAATGGAATCATGCATTAGATAGTCAGCGTCTGGCTTCTCTTGTTTATCATTATGTTGGTAAGATTCATCCACGTGTCATGGAGCTTTTTCCATTTTAATATAATTCTACTCTGTGTGTGTGCTATAATTTACTTATACATTCCACTAACATTCTGTTATTCCCAGTTTTGGGATATTATTAATATATACTGTGCATATTCTCGTACATGTCTAGTTGCCAGTTTCTATTGTTATATAACTAGGAGTGGAATTTCTGGGTCATGGGATAGGCATGTCTAGATTTAATAGGGAAACTACCAAATAGTTTCCAAATTTGTAACAGTTTATACTCCCACCAGCAGAGAATAAGTTTCCTTTGTTCTACTGCCTCATTAACACAGTACTATTTTAATTTCAGCTATATTTAAATGTAAGGCATTAATTTGGATTTCTCTTGCTATGAATGAGTTTAAGCAGGGTTTTCTTTTTTGTGAGTGAAGGGACTCCTTAAGTCTCCTGCCCAGTTTTTCATCAAGACATCTTTTTCCTTAAATATTTGAGGACTTGCAATATCCAGATTCATACATAAGGAGTTTGTAAGCTGCCACAAGCAAAAAAAATAGACTGAAAAGTCAAGAACTTTTGGATCCATAAGAGGGGTAAGGACTCAGAGCAAACTGCTGATTCAAAGACTGAAGAGGTAGACAGGCTAATGAGGGAGTCATGGTTTACTTAGGTAAAGACTCAGGAGGAGAAGCCAATGCCAGGTGCTAGTGCCCAGGTAGGAAAACCTGAATTGAAGTTGATAAATTGCTGGAGGTCCAGGACAGACAAGTCTGAAAGTTTAACATTCTCTCCACCCACACCAACTTTTGTGAATTTTACCTAGAGAATCTCACCCAAGTTCTCATAGTAAGTATATTAATCAACTTTCGGATTGTGCTGCGACAAAATACCCAACATATACAGCTTAAAGGAGGAGAGATTCATGTTGGTTCACAGTTTCAGAGGCTTCAGTCCATGATCAAGTGGCTCTGAAAGAGAAAGATCAGAGAAGAACATCATGATAAAGGAAAGCTACTCAATCTGTTATAGCTGGGAAGCAGGGTTGGACAGTGCCTGAGAAGAAGAGATCAGGGACCAGATACAGTCTCCAAGGTCACAGCCCCACAACCCATCTCCTTCTATATCTCGCCTCTTCAAAGTCCGTTCAGCTACAGATTCATCACTGGGTTAGTCTACTGATGAGTGTCGTGCCCTCACAGGCCAATCCCTTTAGGAGTCTCCTAATCCAGTTGACAATCAAAATGAACTAACATATTGGTTAGGGTTTTCCAGGGGAGCAGAAATTATATATATATATGTAATTATGTGAGAGAATTTATTTAAGTACGCCTAGGATCAGAGGTGGGAGAATCCAAAATGACTTTCTTTATTGCAGAGAGCTGGAGGATCAGTAGCAGCTCAACCCAAGAAGCAGGAAGCTGCAGAACAAGAGGGATCCAGGATACAGCTCCTGCCTGAGCCTGAAGGCTTGTAAATTCCCTGTGGAGTTACTGCTATGAGTGCCCATTGGAAGGCTGAATAAACTAGAGTGTGATGTCCAAAGGTGACAGCAACGAAAAATGCAGCTGCTCAAGCAGAGTAGGAGGTTCCAAAAAAACAGCCTTCCTCTTTCCTCCCCTTTCATTCCATCTGGCCCAACACGATTTGATGGTAGCACCTGAAATCAGGGCAGATCCCCCAAAGCCATTTTGCTGGCACGTGTCAGTCATCTCTGGAAACACCCATAGCCACACCTGGAAGTGTGCTTCCCTGATGGGCTAGGCATTTATTAATCCAGGCCAGCTGACATATCATAACTGAAGGTCACAACTAGCCTAGGAAATGTCCAAAGCTCAAGAGGAAAATGAACTATTTTGAAATACACCAGAGCACTCTGTTCTTAACAAGGAGAACTAGTTAATAAGAACTAGTTAATAAGTTTCTTCTACCCTTAGGAGAAACTACTTAATAAGAACCTACCTGAATGCAGTTATTTTCAAAACCTTACTGACCAGCCAACTCCAGCCTTCCACGTGAGAGAAGGGAAATACTCATAACTTAAGGAAGTGAGGTCTACTTTAGATTAAGGTTTTAAAAGTTTTAGTCCGTGGTTGGCAGACTGAAATGCAGAAATGGCAGGTGGAGGGCGCTGGCACAGAGGCAGCTGCTCCCATCCTGGCAACTAGAAAGCAGAGAGTCATGGGAGGAGCCAGGGAGGGAGATGCACTTAGCGGGTCACACCCTCAGTGGCTGCCTCTTCTGAGCAGACCCCACCTCCTACCAGCACATTCCGCCGAGTATAGCACCCTGTAATTCAGTCACCTTCTATAGCCTCACCTTTGAACATATGAACATTTTGGGGGACATTTTTATTTTTATTTTTTTGTTGAAAATGTGTGCATTTATTTATACACCCCCATTCGAGCTCCTTAAAAATGTGGATAACATTCTCAGCTTGAGGCTATATCAGAACAAATAAACAAACAGAAAAGAGCTACCCAGTAAATTTGGGATATTGGCTATAGCTTATAAACTCCTTTCCTAGAATGTATAATATGCATCCTGGACTTAGTGTGTACCTTTAGCCTCTTCCCAGACCGTGCAGGGGCTCTACAGTGCTTGTACTTCCACTGACTTATGTACCGTTTATGGGATTACGTATTTTCAGTTTATATATGTTAAAATCCACAAGATCCTTTATTAACTCAGTGTTCAATTAAACTTATGCACAGATTTATACTTCTCATTTTATTTCTTTGTGTTTGCAAGTCTCCGTTACAACTTTAGTATACACCTTCTGGGGATGAATTAGTTCTTGTTTGTCTGAAAATGTATTTTATCATCATTTCTATTTTTGTTTTCATTTTTTGGTGCTACTGGGGATATTAACACAGGGTTTCACACATAGTAGGCAACTCTCTACCCAGTCATTTTTATTTTCTAATTTTGAGACAAAGTCATTTTTTAGATCTAACCAGAACACCTGGTCTTAACACAGCAATAAGTGGGCTCCTTACTCTTTGGTCCTCAATAAATGACTGGAGAAAGATATATTATGGTAACAATCAAAAGAAAACAGGAGAGACAGCATTCGTTTCAGACAAGGAGAGTTATTAGGAATGAAGTAGTGCATTACTTAAGGTTAAAGGGTCAACTCTCCAAGAAGTTGTAATAGTTCTTCCTATTCTTTCCTTCTGTTTAAAATATAATAATTTTATTCTATACTTGCATAACAATGGAGCATCAAAATGCATCAAAACTAGTAGAACTACAAGGAGAAATAGATGAATCCATGTTATAGTTAGAGACTTCAGTACTTTTCTAATTAATTGACACAGTCGGCAAATAATCAGTAAGGGTGGGGTTGAACTCAGCCAACTGGACTGAGCATTCAGTCACCTGCATTTAATTGACTTCTGTAGACTACTTTAGCCAACAAAAATATAATACACATTTTTGTCAAGCTTACATAGAACATTCACCAAGACAAACATTACATTCTGCATCATCAGACACATCTACTAGCATCTGCTCTTAAATCACAATGAAATTTAACTAGAAATCAGTAACAGAAAGAAAACTTGAAAAACTTCCAAATCTGTAGAGATTAAGCAAGATACTTCTAAGTCACACATGGTCAAAAAAGAAATCTCAGGTTGGGGATATAGCTCAGTAGAGCAGCACCTGCCTGGCAAGTGTGAGGTCCTGAGTTTGATTCCCCAGTACTAGAAAAAGTAAAAAATAAAAAAATAAAAAAAAAAGAAAGAAAAGAAGGAAATCTCAAGAGAAATTTAAAAGTATTTCTAACTGAATAAAAATGAAAACAAAACTTATCAAATTTTTGAGACACAGCAAAGGTGATGCTTATAGGAAATTTTATAACATTGTATGCATATATTAGAAAAAAAAGCTAAAATCAATAACCTAAATTTTCATCTTGGGCACACAGAAAAAGAGCAAATCAAGTCCAAAGTAAACAGCAAAAAAGAAACATTAAGAATTAGAGCAGAGATCAATGAAATTCAAAAATGGCACAGCCACTTCAGAAGATAGCTTGATGATTTCTTACAAAACTAAGCATACTCTCATCAGCACATATACCTGTTGGTATGTAGGCAAAGGAATTGAGAGCTATGTCAGTGCAGAAACCCGAGCACAGATGTTTATAGTGGTTTCATTAAAAATTGCCAAAAACCAGATGTGGTAGTACATACCTTTAAGCCCAGCCCTCAGGAGGCTGAGGCAGAAGGATCACCATAAGCCAGCCTTGATGGATAATGGGTTCAAGGGCAGCCTACATAGTTCAAGGCTGAAATACATAGCAAGACCCTGTGTCAAAAAACAACAACAAATAAATCAATCAAATAAAAATCAATAAAATTAAAAAATAAAAATTGCCCAAACTTGGTAGCAACCAAGATATCCTTCTTTAGGTAAATGGATAAACTGTGGTAATTCAGACAATGGAATATAATTCAGTGCTAAAAGAAACAAACTATTGAACCATTAAAAGAAATGGAGGAAACTTAAACGCTTGTTACTAAGTGAAAGAAGCCAGCCTGAAAAAACTGCATATAGTTTCCGACTATATAAAATTCAGAAAAGGGAAAAACAAAGAAGATGATAAAAAAAGAGCCATGATTTCCAGAGGTTAGGGGTGGGTGCAGGGACAAATCGATGGAGCACAGTTGATTTTTTAGGGCAGTGAGAATATTCTGTATGATACTGTGGTGATGGATTCATGATTATTATCTACCTGCTCAAACCCATAAAATGTAAAACACCAAGAGTGAACCTTAGTGCGAACTGTGGATCCTGGTTGATAACAACAATGTGTAAGTATAGGTTCATCAGTTCTAACAATGCACCGCTCTGCTGGAGAACATTGATAATGAGGGAAGACTGCATGATGGAGTGGGAGGGGGTGAAAAAGTCTGTGGATCTTCCTATCAATTTTTTGTGAACCTAAAATTGTTCTTTAAAAAAAATCTTTAAAATTTTTGGAGGTTTTTTTTTTTTTTTAAACATAACCCAGATATAATACCTTTCTCCATGGCAAGTGTAGCAATAGCTTCTCTCACCCAGTAGCCATATTTTCATCTCTTAATATTACCTTTTGATAAACAAAAATTTACTACAATGTATCAATCTTTTCCTTTCCAAATCATGGAGATCCTCCACCTCAGCCTCCTAAATACTACAATTACAGGCATGTGCCACCATGCCTGGATGAGTAGTACTTCTGAATGTTTTGTTTAAGGAATTTACCCTTATCCCAAGTTAGAAATATAATCTACTTTTGTTTTTTATACTTAGAATTAAAACCTATCTGAAAGTAAATTTTGTGCAAATGGATAAACTGTGTGAGGTGGGAGTCAAGTTTTGTTTTTCTCCTGTAAAGATATTCAACATTAAAAAGACTATCATCTTCATAACTTCTTTTTTCCAGTACTGGGGATTGAACCCAGGGCCTTCATGCTGAACCATGTACCAGCCCTTTTAATTTCTTTTTATTTTGAGAGAAGTTCTCACTAAATCACTAAATTCCCCACCCTGACTTCTAATTTGAGTTTCTCCTGCCTCAGCCTCCTAGAGTGCTGGGATTACAGGTGTGTGCCACTGCATGCAGTTCACTATTGTCTATTCTTTCTTTTATGTATGTGTGGTGCTGGAGATTGAACCCAGGGCCTCGTGCATGCTTGGCAAGAGCTCTACCACTGAGCCACAAACCCAACCCCATACTGTCTATTCTTTTTTTTTTTTTAATTTTTTTTATTTTCTGGTACCGGGAATCGAACTCAAGACCTCACTCTTGCCAGGCAGGCGCTGTGCCACTGAGCTAAATCCCCAGCCCCCATACTGTCTATTCTTATACTGTTAGTATGCTGTCTTAATTACCATACTAATTCTCGATATCAGAACAAGTCCTCTCACCTATTCTTTGTTTTTGAATATTCTTGCATTTTTGTGTACATTTAAGCATTACCTTCTCAAGTCACAGAATTCCTTTCGAAACTTTGATTGAGAATATATTGTGTTTATAAACCGCTTGGGGAAGCATTTACATCCTTTTAACACTGAATCTTCCAATCAAAGAACACATTATAGCCCTCCATATAGGTTTTCTTTAACTCTGTTACGTTTGATTTTGCTTACAAATCACCACAGCTGGCTATATAGATACTGAGACACATAATGCAAGGTGACAATGAGAAGTGCTGAGTATAATTCAAAATTTTGTATGTAGCATAGCATGTTTGAAATTATATTATTGGAAAATATATTAGTGGAGCTAAATATATTAATTATTCAGATATCATCTCAGATGTAATTCTTGTCAAAACATAAAGTATTATTTTCTCAAAGCGTATCATGCTCAATGCACCTAATACAAGAAGATGTTTATCTTCATTCCAAGACTCTAGGGCTTCTGCTTCAGCCTTTTATATTAAATATGCGTTATTTTGGGTGAGTTATTCATTGTGTTAAAATAGCTGGGGACTGAAAAACTGATTCCTTTTATCCTGTACTGTGTTGCTGTAGAGATGACATTGATCCTGGTTTTTCATTAATTTTTTTCTGGTAGAATTTCTAAAGGATTACTTGTCTTTCCCATCTCATTGTTGTATTTCTTTTTCAGAGATTTATTCATTTGTTTAGAAAGAATTTGGAGCTGATAACTAGATGCTAAAGTTAATGTCATTTTTTTCTATTTATTTATATTTATAACCGAAGTGCCTCACAGGACGAAGCAGGCAGTTCTTCCTCACAGGACGAAGCAGGCAGTATACAGTGCTGTAGTACCTCAGTTGTCAAACTTAATTAATTCCAAATTCATTTTCAAACACTGAGCAGTTCTAGAACTAAGAGTATTTTTCCCATAACAAGTAATGGAAAATCAAATAATTGGTTCTGAGACCCAAAAATTTACTTATAAATTAATTTTTCTAGGACTTGAACACATTTCTCAAAGATGTCTTTTTTCAACATTTTAAAAATATACTTTCATATTATTCCCTTAGTTACATTTTCTCGTTGCTGAGACAAAATATCCAGCACCCACAAGTTAAGGAGGAAAGGTTTACTGCAGCTCACAGTATGTAGAGGTTTCGGTCCTTAGTTGGCTGGCTCCAAGGCAGGGCAACAGGCAGAGGGGCATCGCATAGGAGAAACCATGCACGGCAGGCAGCAGGCAGCAACGCAGGGAAGTAGCAAGTGATGACAGCAGCCCGCTTTCTGTCCTTTATATTTCTTTCCAGGCTACACAGGTTTAGGGCAGGCAGCACTTATAGCCAGCATACGCCCTCACATTATCCACCCCCAGAACTAGGCCAAACCAATCAGTACACTAATTTAGTATCCCACACTCTAGATGAAGCCACCTCTGAAAAGCCCCACCTATGACAGCATGAGGCCTGGGGGATTTCTCAATGAGTTTCTTCTTTAACTCTGTTGTGGTTTTCAGTTTCCTCTTCGCTTTACTGCTACTATCGCTAACTTTCTTTAGAGTCATGGTTATGACATTTTATGCAAATAAAGAGCAAAAAAGGCAAAAAAAAAAAAAAGCTCAGTGATGAATGTTTTAATGCACTACCACAAGCACTGTGTGTTGCCTGGGCAAGAGGGGCACTTAGACTGAACTTCACTCCTTTGTGTCTGCTGCAGACCTGACAGGAGACTTGCTCTCTACCTGTACAGGTTTTTCTCAAGTGGGATTTTCGGTTCACCAATTGAGCAAAGTTATGAACACCAAACAGACTTTTTTTCAAACTGTGCTGTTTGAGTAATGGAAAGTTTGAACTTGGAGCCATTCGATAGTCAAGGTATCACTGTAGGACTAATGGAAGCCTCTTGAGGGAAATTCCTCAGGGCTCCATCTGGGGAATCATCTTAACGTGCCTGTCTTCTGGCTTTGTACCCTCTGCTTTTGGCATAGAGCTAGGCATTCCTGGCCCTACTGATCTTTTTTTTAACTATACTGCTTCCCTTTACTCTGACAAAGATTTTCTTAGTTTCTTCCACTCTTTCCACCCCAGTATAGATCAAGGCCAAGAGATATGAAGTTCAGAAAAAATATATTCCTTGGTAGGGATAAGCAGGTTGGGAGTATATGCAGAAGCATTGCTTGGATGCAGATAATTCTAATAAAGCCTGTGTTAGTCTTTAAAATTAGATTCATAAACCAGACATGGTGGTGCATGCCTGTAATTCCAGCCATGGTAGGCTGAGGCAAGAGGATCACTATTGGTTCGAGGCCATCCTAGACTATACAGTGAGTTCACATCCAGCCTAAACTATGTACCAAGACCCTGTCTCAAAAAAAAAAATTTTTAAAAACCATTAGATTCATTATATATCATTGGCATTCAGAGCATCCTCCTAGCTTTTTAAAAAGTTTTTTTGGGGGGGGCATTTTAAAATTTTATTGGTACATTTTAGATATATGTAGTGATAATATTCATCATAGGGAATCTGTCTATACACGATACATCTTGATTCTCTTTTCCCCATTCCCCTTCCCTCTCTTCAACTTCTCTTCCCCTACTTGTTTACAAAAGCTTTGTTTCCATTTTTCCTTCTGTCCCTTTTTTGTTTATCTCTTCTTTCCTTTCCCCCTCCCTTCTTCCTTATTCCCCTTCTCATTTGAACATTTTGTTCCTATTTCCCAATACCTATTATACATTTTGGCCCACATTTTCACTTTTGGTTTCTCACATCAGAGAAACCATGTGGTATTTAAACATATGTGTTTGATTTATTTTGCTTAAGAGTATGGTCTCAAGCTGCATCTATTTAGCTAGAAATGTCTTCTTTGTGGAAGAGTAGTAGTCCACTGCACATTTTAAAAAAACTTCATCTTCTTTATCCATTCATTGGTTGATGGGCTTTTGGGCTGTTTCTAAGATTTAGCTATTACAGATTGTGCTGCTACAAACATAGGTGTGCATATACTGCTGTGATATGATGCTGTTATTTCTTTTAGGAAGATACCAAGAAGGTGAATAGCTGGATCGAATGGAACCTCTAGTTTTAGTTTCTTGAGGACTCTCCACACTGATTTCCACATTGCTTGCATCAGTCTACACTCCTAGCAACAGTAGAGAAGGGTTCCTTTTCCCCACAGCCATGCCAGCATTTCTTATTAGTTGATTTCTTGATGGTAACCATTCTTTCTGGGGTGAGATGGAATCTCAGCATTGTTTTAACTCGCATTTTGTGAATGACCAGTGATGTTGAACCTTTTTTCATATATTTATTTGCCATTTCTATTTCTTTATCTGAGAAGTGTCTATTCATTTCAGATCCCTATTTTTTGGAGTAGGTCTTTAAATTTGGGGGTCCTGATTTTTTTGAGTTCTTTACATATTCTAGATATTAGTCCTTTGTCTGAACCACAGCTGACAAAAATTTTGTCCCACATTATGTGTTATCTCTTCTTTATGTTGGTGGTTTCTCTTGTTGTTCAAAGGCTTTTTTAAAAGATGAGATCCCAGTTGTTAACACTTTGTGATAGTTCGTGTGCAATCAGAGTTTTGTTCATAAAGTCTTTGCCTACATCAATATCTTCAACAGTTCTATCTACTCTATCTTCCAACAGAGTTAGTGTTTCTGTTTTCATATTTAGATCTTTGATCCATTTCTATTTTAGTTTAGTGCATGGTGAAAGATATGTGTCTAGTTTTAATCTTCAGCATGTGCAAAACCAGTTTCTCTATCACCATTTATTAAAGAGGCTGTCTTTCTTCCAATGAATGTGTTTGGCTACTTTGTCAAAAATAATTTGGCTGAATATGTTTGGAGTTGTTTCTGCATCTTCTAATCTGTTCCTCTAATCCCTGAGTCTGTTTTTTTTTTTTTTTTTTTTTTTTTTGCCAGTACCATGTTGTTTTTATTACAGTAGCTTTGCAGAATCATTTCACATCAGGATTGTGATGCCTCCAGCCTTGTCTTTGTTGCCCAGAATTGCTTTTGCTATTCTAGGTCTCTTCTGGTTCCAGATTAATTTTAGGATTGTTTTCCCTAATTTTGTGAGATATGCTATTGGTATTTTGACCAGGATTGCATTAAATCTGTTTAACAGTTTTAGAAGTCTAGCCACTTCCACTATATTGGTTCTTCCCACCTGAGAACAAGGGATACCTTTCCATTTTCTGATATCATCTTCAATCTCCTCTTTAGAGTACTGTAGTTTTCAATGTAAAGGTCTTTTGCTTCCTTTGTTAGATTGACTCATAGGTGTTTCATTTTTTTGGATGCTCCTGTTAGAGGTGTTGTTTTCCTAATTTCTCTCTCAGTGAGTTTTTTATTTTATTCAGATATTTAGAACTGATTATATATTTATTAAGTTCCTAAATGCTTATGAACCTAGTTTTATTTTAATATTTTCTAGGAAAGAAATTGTTGCTTTCATCAACTGTCCCTGTCAGAGTTTAATGGGTTCTTTCATTTTCTTCATGTTATATATCATAACTCTTCTTTTCCCCATTCCCCTCCCCTCGCTTCAAACCATCATTTCCTTCCCATTTCCAAAGCTTTGTTTCTTTTTCATTCTACTCCCTTTTTAAAAAGTCTCTTTCCCTTTCTTCCCTTTGTTTTACCCCTTCTCATTTTCATGAAACATTTGGATCTGCACTTATTTTTCTGTACCTGGAATTGAACTCAGGACCTTGTGTGTGCCAGGCAGGCACTGTGCTGCTGGTCTATATCCCCAGCCTTTTTCTTTTTTGAAATAGGGTCTTGCTCTGTAGTTCAGGTTGGTTCTGAACCCACTATGTATACCAGGCTGACTTTGAAGTTGTAGTAACCCATCTGCCTCAGCCTACTGAGTTTTCCAGTTACAGGTATGTGTCACCACACCCAGCCTTTTGGATTTTTTGAGACAGAGTCTTGCTCTGGAGCTCAGGGTGGCCTTGAACTCACTATGTAGCCCACGCTGCCCTCAAACTTGCAACAATCCTCTTGCCTCAGCCTTCCAGGAAGTGCTGGGATTACAGGCATGCGCCACTACATTCAGTTCATATTTGATGTCCAACCTGCTGCAGTAATTTTACTTACCAGTGCCCAAATGAATTTTCTTCTTCAATGAAAGCATGTTCTTTTTTTAAAAAAATTATTTTTTGTTAGTGTGTATTTGCTGTATATAATGATCATATTCACCATAAGGAATTTGTACCTGTACATAATATATCATAACTCTTTGCCCCATTCCCTTCCCCTTGCTTCAAACCATCATTTCCTTCCCATTTACAAAGCTTTTTTTTTTTTTTTTTCATTCTATTCCCTTTTTTAAAAATCTCTTTTCCTTTCTTCCCTTTGTTTTACCCCTTCTCATCTGAACCTGTTCTTCCTACTTCCCGAAAAACCATCTTAGGCCATTTTATGCAGTTTGGGATGCAATAACAAACCTTTTTAGTCAACTGTCACCTTCCTTTCTTAGGTATGACCACTCTCCAAAGCTGTGGTCTTTCCTGTTTGCCTGCAGAACTGGTTGAAAGAGATTATGATCCTCTCAGACCCCTTCTAAGATGTCAGCTCCCAGAAATAGGTGACTAGCATTCAGTCCCTGAAGCATTAGAGAGGGAATTCTGGAGTTAGATTGGACAGGTTTAGATTCCAGCTTCATACTTGTGGGCTATTTCCTTGGGCAAGTATCTAACTAATTCTGTGTGTGTTTTAGTGTCCTTACCTCTGAAGCAGAGATTGTATTAATTCCCTCACTTATAAAATTTCTGTCAGAATTGAGCCAACTGACATACGAAAAATTCTTACCACAACATGTTAAGTTGTGGTATGTGATAAATGATCAGTAAATGTAATCTTTCTCAGGGCAAAGAAGTCTTCTGGAGCATGAACAGTCCAACTCTAGACCAAGAGAAGTCCAGCCTCAGTTATTATCACTCATAGGATTACTTCAGGAAGCTGGACGTGGTGGTGCGCACCTGTAATCCCAGCAGTAGGACAGCTATGAGTTTGAGGCCAGTCTGGACTGTATAGTGAGATCCTGCCTCAACAAAACAAAACAACCATACTGTGTTGCTTTCAGTTGTACTGTGTTCTTTTGTTTGAAATAATGAATCCCTTTGTTTCTAGAAAAGAAGCTGTGACTGCTGGTTTTAATTATCAGGAATC